CCGTATTCCTGATCCCGAAGAGGACGGATTCCCAACAGATCTCCTCTTTTTCCTTCCAGGAGGTGCCGCAGGAGCATCTGAGCTCCCTGAGGAAAGGGCGTGAGGAAGCCAAAGCCGAGAGGGAGAGGCAGAGCGAGGACTTACTGGTGAGTGCCGTGGGGTGGGATCTCCTGGAATCCTCCCCGGCTCTGGGAATGTCGGTCTGATGTGGATTCCCCCTCCTGGGATTTGCAGAAGCAGACGGAAGTGGAGAGGCAGAAGATCGTGGCCGAGTGCAAGGAGCTCCGGGGCTTCCTGGAGGAGAAGGAGCAGCTCTTGCTGTCCCGTCTGGAGGAGCTGGATAGGGACATCGTGAAGAGGAGGGATGAGAGCGTCTCCCGTCTCTCGGAGGAGATCGCCCAGCTGGATAAGCTGCTGGGAGAGCAAGGAGGAGACAACGGCTCTGGAAACCAGGCTGGGCAGGTGGGAATCCTGCCACGTGTCCTCCCAACCCGGAGGTTGTGGTGTGAAACCCGGGAGAGCCCGGAGTTGGGGTCCTTGGGACAAAATTCCGGGTGCTGGGGAGCTGAGGGTTTGCTTTTTTTGGAGGGATCCCAAATTTCAGCACAGCTTTTGGGGATAAAATCAACCCTGGTGGTGGTGAAGCCACTCGGGCTCCCGTTGACTCCAAGAAATTCCCAAATTTCCCAAGTATTTTTGGTTTGTGGCGCTGGGAGCCCCGAATCCTGGTGGGTTTGGCAGCTGGATGGCAATCATGGTTTTTCTTAATTTTTTTTTTAAAAGCAGCATGTTGGGGTGGTTTATTTTTTTTCCCTAAAAACTAAAAAAAGGGGAAGAAAATCCCGGAATTCCAAACTCCTTGTGCCACATGTGTGAGTCCAACAGCTGCCAAGAGCCAATCCCCTCAGTGGAGCAGCCGTGGGACCAGATTTGGGGAGGATTTTGGAGGCTGTGAGGTCAGAGAGAGCCATGATCCTTATTTTTATTTTTTTTCCCCCTTTTTTTCCTCTTTCTCCAGGGCGTCGTCCCAGCTGGAAGCAGGTGAGTGACCCTCAGCCCTTCACTGGGTTAACTGGGAGCGTCATGCTGGGGGCTGAGCTGGTGTCGGCGCGGACGGACACCCCATCCTCCCCCCATCCCCCTGGGTCTCCCCCACATCCAGACGTTGCCATTGAGGCAAATTCCCAAACTTTTTGCGAAGGGAATTTGGGGCGGGAGGGTTTGAGCCTCATTCCAGAGGAAACTGGAGTAACTGGGTTAGGGAGGGGCCAAACCCACACCAGCAGGACCGAAACCAAAAACTGGATGAGGCTGCTGACCTCTAGTTTGGAGATTTTATAGATTTATTTTTTTTTCCAGAAAAAAACTAACGCTTGTTTTTCCCTTTCCCAGCTTTGAGAGCTGGATGTTCTGCAAGCCGGAGGCGGGATTCACGGAGCTGGAGAAGAAACTCAAGAGCTTTTCCCAGAAGAGCGCGGTGCTGAAAGAAGTTTTGCTGGAATTCAAGGGTGAGCACTGGGAAAAAAAAAAAAAAAAAAAATTTTCTTCCCAAGTTGGTGCTTTTAATTCCACTTAAAACACGGATCCCGTGGTGGGGGGATTGGAATTGGATGATCCTTGAGGTCCCTTCCAACCCAATTCCATGATTCCAGGAAAAAATGACTTAGTGTGAGCTGTGCTTCTCCCTCGGGCTTGTTGGGAGAACTTTTTATTGTGGGAAATAAAAAATAAAATTAAAAAAAGCCCGTTTTGATCAAAAAGCAGCATATTTCCCTCGGATTTCCCCCGACGGCGCCGTTCCTGAGCAGTGGGATTTAAATTCCCTAAAATTCCCTTTAAATTCTCTAAATTTCCTTCTTTTCTCCCCCCAGAGAACCTCCGCTTCGAGCTGGAGAACGACACAGGTGAGCGCCGCTTGGTTTTTCGGGAATCTGATTTTTTTTTTTTTTTTGGCAAAGTTTAATTTGGGGTTTTCAACTTTCCTGGGAGATGGATCTCGGCGCTGCGACCTTCGAGCTCCTCTTGGAGGTCAGGAGAGGAGAAAAAATATTGCTGGTGCTGCCAAGGGGGGGAAAAAATTCCCCAAAAACCGCAGGTCTTGGATTTTTAAGGAAAAGTAGGGGGTTAAGAGGACTCTCCGGGAGCTGATCCCGCCGCACCCGGAGCGAGGAGACCTTTGGCTGCGGCGGGCGCCGAGTTCGTTCCGGGATGGACTTTGCCAGGAGTTCAGGGATGGCACCAAAATGTTGGTTTTCCTCAGAAATTCCTGTTCCAGAGCACGGAGGAGTCCGGGATGGGGCAATCCGGCCATTTCTCCGCTTTAATTAAAAACTGGAGCTGCCCC